TGGCAAATAAATTACCATTAGACTAAGGAACTCCTACTACTTTCTATGACATACCACACCCATCTCTACTTGAGATTGAGAGTTATTGAGAGTGTCATAATCATCTCCCAATCCCAGAGTCCCTACTTCAATACATCATAAAACAAAACAACCAGAAGGATTTCCCCATAAAATCCTTTTGACCTTATACTTATATAATGTTTAGTATTCATCGAACAAAACAATCCTCCAATGCAATATACATTAAATACATTTAAACCACTTAAAATAAGTTTAAATCATGTTATAAACCAATCCTAGTTTCATCATTCACATAATCATAATCATTGAATGCATCACAAGAGATAGGAAAACTTAGTTAAAATTCTGACATGCTAAAACTTTTTCGCTCTGCCATCATGACTCGCTATGCGAATACAAAAATAGTGGGTTCTACTCGCTCAGCATCTACATTCGCTCAGCTAAATTTGGTTTTACTCGCTCAGCAATTATTCTCACTGAGATAGACTGTCGAATTTTGCAGAATTTGAGCCTACCAATCTTAAATTTTTTAACTTCCACACTTTCACATTCGCCTACACCTCCTATTTGTTATTTCAAACCTTAATGGAACTCGTCAAAGTGTTTATGACTCCTCTTAAATTCTACAAGTCTAATCCTTTTATGAATTTCTAAGTCATTCAAACTAAAACACCATTTTCATAACCCATAATTCTACTCATTCTTCATCACAATTTGGTAAACTCAACCTCTAAACAAGTCTTAAATAGCTTAAGAACATACTTTAAACCCCAAAATTCTTAATCCAATCCTTCTCAAAATATCACCTATCAAAACCCATTATTTAACACAAAACAAACCTATAATTGAACTCAATTAATACTTCTTTATTCAACATCGTATTTTTGGTTATCTAAAACCCTATACCAGATTCTAAATAATTCACATCAGATTTTATTGAACTAAAAAGCTACACAAGTCTTAAATGACCTAAAAACTAACCCCAAACATCAAGTTTCTCTGCAAAACCATTCCTCAAGAAAATCACCTATTAAAACCCCAAATCAGACCCAAGACTAGCCAAAACTTTCACCTTCCACTACTTCAAGGTTAAACAAGAGTTATTAACCAATTACAACATCAATTGCAACAACTCAAATGATCAAAACTAGCAATATACAACAAGCATTCATCGCAATCATTTCTCAATATCAAATATCACACATATAGGTCAAGTCCAAGCAATTGCACCACAATACAACAAAATCTCCACAAGCTAAATCTCTTTAATCAAACTTTAGCATAAAAATTCAGATTATCAAAGCATTAACATATAGAACAGAGGTATTTAGCTTCCTTTACCAGTTAAATGACTAAAGGACCTAAAAAGAACCTAAAGTCGCTTCCTCAACTTAGAAAGCTCTATCTAAACTTACAAGCCGCAGAATCATGATTAGGGTACGTAGTTATAACCATTAATTAGCGGAGAACCTAACAAGAAACTTAGATGACACATGTAGTGGAAAACTACTCATATGCATTGGAAAATGTGAAATTAGAAAAAATGAATAGAAACTAACTTACTATTTTATAAAAATTGTTCGACTAGACTAGAAGACCTTGGCCCAATGATCACTTTAACACCTAATCTTCAAACAGATGACTCAACAGATAAAATATCTAGAGATAAGAAAAAACTCTAAAATTTTTTTTTAAAAGAAATAATGTAACTTGAAATAATAAAACTCATCTTATAAAATTTCTATTAATACTTTGAACTTTAACATTAAAATATTTGAATCTAATACTTAAATCACACTATCAATTTTAAAAAAACATTTTATGGATTCTTACCCTAAGAAGAAAGAAATGATCATAATAAATACATATCTTATCAAAATATAGAATAGATTATTAAAATATAAACAAATTTTGCTTTGGAAGACAAGTTAATCAAGAAAACATCATGCAAATATTGTTTAGTAACTTCTTCTTTCTACTTTTTATTTTTTTTAAAAAAAGTTCTTGATAATATTAATTACTCTTTGCTAATTTATTAATGTTTTATTATTTTACACTTACATATTTTTATGAAGTAAAAGTGAAAAATTAAAAGGAAAACTGATTTTCACTTATACATAATTAATGTCTTCTTAGGTTATAATTTGTATAAATGATTTTGTCTATTTAGAATTATTTTATACCAGTTACGTAAACATGAGTTTATCACTAAAAGCAATATAATGAAGTTAGTATATTTAAAATAAAATTAAGTAATTTAAATGGTGGTATTTTCAATAGGGACTAATTTTGCAATAAAGATTATTTCGATTATTTTTTANCTCTATCTAAACTTACAAGCCGCAGAATCATGATTAGGGTACGTAGTTATAACCATTAATTAGCGGAGAACCTAACAAGAAACTTAGATGACACATGTAGTGGAAAACTACTCATATGCATTGGAAAATGTGAAATTAGAAAAAATGAATAGAAACTAACTTACTATTTTATAAAAATTGTTCGACTAGACTAGAAGACCTTGGCCCAATGATCACTTTAACACCTAATCTTCAAACAGATGACTCAACAGATAAAATATCTAGAGATAAGAAAAAACTCTAAAATTTTTTTTTAAAAAAAATAATGTAACTTGAAATAATAAAACTCATCTTATAAAATTTCTATTAATACTTTGAACTTTAACATTAAAATATTTGAATCTAATACTTAAATCACACTATCAATTTTAAAAAAACATTTTATGGATTCTTACCCTAAGAAGAAAGAAATGATCATAATAAATACATATCTTATCAAAATATAGAATAGATTATTAAAATATAAACAAATTTTGCTTTGGAAGACAAGTTAATCAAGAAAACATCATGCAAATATTGTTTAGTAACTTCTTCTTTCTACTTTTTATTTTTTTTAAAAAAAGTTCTTGATAATATTAATTACTCTTTGCTAATTTATTAATGTTTTATTATTTTACACTTACATATTTTTATGAAGTAAAAGTGAAAAATTAAAAGGAAAACTGATTTTCACTTATACATAATTAATGTCTTCTTAGGTTATAATTTGTATAAATGATTTTGTCTATTTAGAATTATTTTATACCAGTTACGTAAACATGAGTTTATCACTAAAAGCAATATAATGAAGTTAGTATATTTAAAATAAAATTAAGTAATTTAAATGGTGGTATTTTCAATAGGGACTAATTTTGCAATAAAGATTATTTCGATTATTTTTTATTTTATCACATTATTGAAATTATTTATAATTATTTTTATTTACTACCTTTAACATTTTAGAAATATCAGGCATTTTCTTTTCACCTTTTCTTTTCTAAAAAAACAAAGTTTGAAAAATAAAAGTAATTTTTAGGAGAGGAAGAATCTAGACATAGAAATTCAAAAAATAAATTGACGATGACGTCATAAATTTTAATTAATTTATATATTCAATTTGATATTTATTTATAATGGTACTTATCCTCTTCCCACATTATCCTTATCTTTTCTTTACGTGATTCTTTTCCCTCTCTTAGTTCGGTTTCGAAAATATTTATCTGATTTTTCAGAATAAAAATAAATTTCAATACATATAATTTTAAAATTTTAGAATCACACTGTAACGTGGAAGTCTTAAAAAATACAAATACAATTTTAAGTATTAAAATAATAATTAAATTATATACAAAAATTCGAAAAAAATGTTAAAATGTTGGAGATCTCATTCATCATAGATGAGGAAGTGAGTATCTACTAAATAAGTGAAAATAAATCAATTTTACAAGTTTTAGTAAGATTAAGATTAAATTTAAAATTTAGAAAACTTTAGTATTTATTAATTCTATTATTTTTATAATTTGATGTATTTATCATATTATTACAGTCAAATCATTGTCATACAATAATTTGTTTAAGAATGTAAAATTTAAATTACATTTGTTAAAGAAATATATAAAAATAAAGTGATTTAATATAAAATAAAATAGATAAAAAGTAGTTCTGAGACACTTAATGTAAGACAGTGGTTCGTAGCACACAGTACAAGGAAACGTTGCAGTATTTTTTTAGTGTTTATTTGATGTTTTGTTGGAGGTGGAACTTGGAAATTCGGAATGAGTCAGAGCAGAGACACAGAGAGTTGAAAAAAAGAAAGAGGTGATAATAATAACACAGACGACTCAATCTGCCATCACAGCCTTACCTTATTTTAACTGGGTGCCGTGAAATCCCAACTACCCTATCCTATTTCCACCCACACACAGTAATAATCATAAATAAATTAATCAAAATTATTCAAGATTCAGTAAAATTATATAAAAACGATGAGCCAGGAAAACGCCGTCGTTTCCTGCACCTATTCGGAATCAATGCATTGCTTTCACAATAATTATTACCCTTCGCAGATTCCCAGACACTCCTGCGTCCTTTTATTTATTTCCCTTTTTTTCTAAAAATATATTATTTATTTATCGTATTATTTTTTTGGCCAACAACCAGTTCCGGTGTCGTTTTGTGCTTAGGCTTTTGGCCCCAGGTGCGTGGGTCCCCAACACTCTGGTCGCGCATAAAAGAAGACAGAGAAATTGCTGTTGCAGCCACTCTTCACCCAACAGCGACATTTGCGCGCGTCCTACGTGTCAGATTTTGCCGCACACCTTTCGCTTTCACCTACTCGTTGACTCCACGCGCCACTTTCACGCTCACTACCTAGTTTCTCTATTGGGGTACTATCAGTAGCTGTCGGGTAGGTGCGCCCTGGGTCCCACATTCCTCCTTCGCTTTTTTACTCTTTTACCCCTCTCTCATAATCTAAGATATTTCATTTCATAATCTAAATCCTCATTTTTAATCATGACTTTTAAGATTCCATGTCTCTCCACTTCATGTCGTGTCTTCTCATCCAAATCTCGTGACTCACCACACTCATTCATTCCCATTCAAAACAAAGCAATATTTACAGAAAATAAAAGATAGATGAAATTAAAAATTAATCTTTTTTTTTCTAATTTCATTTTGAGAAATTAATGATGATTATAATGTCATGTTTACATGAACACTGGCATTTTTGATGGATTTACAAACAGGACAAGAGTCTAAACTAGACCCGCAACCTGTGCAGACACATAGGTGCCTGCACGGTAAGATTAGCACGCACGATTCCTTTTCCCCACACTTTCTGCACAATCTCTTCCCACCGCTTTTTCCATTATCGTTATAATTGTTTTTATTATTATTATTATTAACAATAATAATATTTTCTTTTATTTCGCTGCAACCTTCCTTTTCCTTGTCCTGCGCCCCGGTGGCTAACGTACGCCACCCCTCGTCGCTGCTCCCGCAGCACGACTCCGCATCTTCATCCGCCGTGTGCGGTGGCGCTGATACCTGCGCCAAGACCTGCTCGAGATTGGTGCGTAGGACATTGGCGGTGGCCTCATTGGTCTGAGCCAGGTCGCGCCAAAACTGATTCTCGATGCTCAGTGATCTCACTTTCTCTTCCAAAACCCAATTCAATTTTTCTATCTTCAAAATCTCTTCTTCTTTCGCTCTCAGCCTCTTCGCCATTTCCACCTCAATGCTCTCCATCAATCTTCTGGCTTGCCGCTTTCTCTTTTCTTCTAACTCCATCCTAACCTTCTCCATCTGCAGACATTCCAAATTACATCAGTTAATGCAACTCATTCGCTGAATCAAATACTCACAGAAACTTCAAAATTACAAGACACAGAAAAAAGTAATCAATATCGAAGATGTGCATTATTACAATTAAAAACCATGCTAAGATCATTGCTGATGGGTTAGAAAAGTAGTCTTTTGCACTGTTGATTTTTGTTAAAAGTATTGAGTGTTGTGTTTGGAAAATTCGGAGAAGTTGAGGGGATGAAAATGGAGACTGATTAAACAAAACCCAAATGAAAAAACTCGGAAAAGTGATTTGTGTTTCAGAAAACTGAAATTTCGATGAAATCAGAGAAGGGTAAGTGAATTACGTGTTGGGAGACGAGGGCATCGAGGTCGAGCTGTTGACGATGGATGTGAGAGGAAATGTCTTCGCCAAGGAAGGAGAAAGAATCGGTTTTCTTCTG